AAGACTGGATGAATCAAGAGTCAGGAGGAAAGGACAGAGGAAGAGAGTCACAGTCAGAATTAGCAATGGCTTCTCACATTTCCTGAGAAGGGGTTTCCTGCTTTCCTCCAGGGGCCATGGAAGGAGATGAGGGCAGACGGAGATCATGTCTTGGATTTTGAGAACAGTTTTGAAATGCCACTGTGAAGGTGGTAGGGGGATGGCTTAGTTGAGACCTGAATTGGGACCTCCAGCACCTACATCAAAAGGCAGCATAAGGGCACATGTTATAAACCCGGTGCTGGGGAGGCAAGGACAGGAAGATCCCTGGGGCTGCTGGCCAGACAGTGTAACCAAATCTGCAAGCTCCAGGATCAGCGAGAGACCCTGTCTCAGAAAATAGGGTAGAGGACTGGAGAGGCGACTCAGCAGTTCAGGGCACTCGCTGTTCTAGCAGAGGAGCGAGGTTTAGGTCCCAGCGCCCACACAACAGCTCAAAACCATCGGAAGCTCCAGTTCCTGGGGATTCAACACTCTCTTCCGGCCTCTGCACGCCCCAGGCATAAGCATTGTACAGACACATCCATGAGTGCAAAACACTCACACACATAAAATTAATAAATTTCTTAAGAACAGAAAAGGTGAAAGTCAATAGAGAAGATGCCCAGCACTGACCTGTGGCCTCAGTGTGCATGAATGCCCACATACATGTAATGCACATAAACATGTAGACACACATACTCCCTCCCCACCCCTGAAATACTGCTGCGAATCCAGAAAAAAAATATATATATATACATTAGGAGCCAAGTGTGGTGGTACACACCTGTGATCCCAGGATTCAGAAGATTGGGATGGGTGGATGCTGAGTTCAAGTTCAGCCTGGAACATACAGTATGATCTTTTTCTCAAAAGATAAACTAAAATACAAAGTAAAATGGTAAGGGCCAGATAGATAGCTCAACAAAGTCACTTGATGCCGTGCTTGGGGACCCAAGTTGGAACCCAGGGGTCATATGGTAAAAAGAGAGAACCAACCTACAAATTGTCCCCTGATCACATGTGCACCGTGGCACACTGATACTCATACACACAATAAATGAATATACAATGTTTTTTAAATAGTCTAAACTGGCAACATGGTTGCCACAGATGGCTTGACTTGTGGGAAATCCTGGAAGAGGCTGATGGACACCATGGAGTAAGCAAGGCTGATGAAGAAGGTACAACTCTCCAAGCTTTTCTGAAAAGGAGAAAGAAAAGTGCTATCCTGGGAGAGGGGGGAGGAGCCAGGGGAGGGATGGTTTTCAGAAGCAGGAGAACCTGGCCTGCAGCTACAGAGATAGGAGGAATTGTTCCCCAGGTAGCCCTCCTTCAAAAGGGACCAAGACTCCTGCTCTGAGAAAGGGTGTGGGTGGGTGAGTGCCCCCAGGGCCATCCATTCATTGGCCAGGGAATCCTGGATAATACTCCTACTTTAATCTCTAGCAACAGCCACGGTTGTGGGCCCGACCTGCTGTACAGTGTCTGATTAATGCCCAAGACATCTCAGAGAAACATGCTGTTGTCGCTAGTGTTTACAGATGAAGGGACTTTCAAAAGTAGCAGGTGTTTGAGCAAGAAGTGGAGGGGCGAGGGGGAGGTGGGGCCAAAGCAGGGGGCGCTGAGCATGGAGGGGGGGTAGAATCACAGCAAGTGGGGCAGATGGGTGGTGGGTGGCAGGAGATAGGGGGTCGAGGATGACTGGGGCTCTGACTGCAGCCCCTGTGGGTGGCGAGGCCAGGCGCTAATGAGAACAGGAAGAAAAAAAAACAGTTGTAGAGGCATAGTGGCAGGTTTGAAGCAATTGTGGGAGAACCAGATGGAACGGGCTTTGTGTCTTTGTCTTTGGGGGCTTCTGGGAAGGACTTTGGGGTTAGCATAGCAGAGAGGAACCAGTATCCCAGCAGGAAGGAACAGAATGAGGGTCCGAGGGCCCAGGGCTTGTGCAGGAGATGCAGAAGAGAGACTCTGCAGTCTTTGACACTGTGAAAGAAAAGGCTCTACGCCGCATCTCTCTAATTGGCCTTACACCCTCTGCAGCCAGTCAGCCTCGGTTCAGTCCACTACCTACTGGGGCAAATTGCTTAATGTTTCTGAGCCGAGGATTCCTCTTGTATAAAATGGGACAGTGAGAGTGTCTACAGTCCTGTCCTGAGGACTACATAGCCATGCCACATATACAAGGTACTCAGGGGTATTTCCAGTGTGAAGTAAGTACTCTGGGGAAATTCACTTTTTTTTTTTGTATGTTTGTTTTGTTTTTTGAGACTGAGTTTTACCATATACCCCAGGTTGACCTTGAACTCAAGAGATCTGTCTACCTCTGGCTCCCAAGTGCTGGGATTAAAGGTGTGTGTGTGGCTCCAAGACCAGCTTGCTCTTTTTCTCCAGGGTTCTCTGTCTTGCTCTGCCCTTGAACACTGAGAACTTAGAAAGACCAGCATGAGGCTGGAGAGATGGCTGGGCAATTAAGAGTGCTTCATGCTCATGCAGAGGACCAGAGTTCCGTTCCTTAAAAGCTCACCAACTCCAGCTCCAGGGGCTCTAACACCCTCTTCTGTCCTTGGCAGACAAGCACACACACACACAGAGAGAGAGAGAGAGAGAGAGAGAGAGAGAGAGAGAGAGAGAGAGAGAGAGAGAGAGAGAGAGAGAGAACAAGGAAGACCAATGTTGATAAAGGACACACCATACTGTGACCTGCAACTCACTTGGATAACCATGTATCAGTCACTTGCGAACAGGAGGCATCTTAGTAATTGACCTGGGTCTTGAAGGGTATGGACAAGTTTTCCAGATGGAAAGGAAAATTGTGCCATCCTCTCAGATGCTCTGCAGGGTCTCCAGATGCCTCATTTGTGCCCAGACCAGAGGGACCCTGTGCCAGACCTGCCCTCAACATTCCCAGTCTGTAGGAACACCAGACAGACGAGAGAGCTACTCACAAGAGATGTGGTCACAGCAGCCACAGTGGTACACCCAAGGGTCCTGGGATCCCCAAGGCAGGCTGCTCACCTCAGTCGGTGTGGTGGTGGTAGGATGGAACATACGAGACAAGGAATAGCAAGGAAGCTGGTGGCCCAGCAGAGGGCACAGCACAGGGAGGCTAGGAGCTGGGGGCCCTGTGTTGGTGAAGGGCACTTCTGTCCCCAATCTTTCAGATCAGGCCCCCTCCCTGACTCTCACTACACACAGGCCTTCATGATTTCCCTCACTCATCTGTTCTCGATCCCCCTGAGCACCTAGGAAGGGCCACACCTGAATACAGCAACCCCCTCCCTCCTCCTTCCCTGACGGGCACTCAATCCTCCACACAGCCGGCCGTTCTTCACCTGATGCCTAAGGCCCTGTTGCCAAGCTCCACCCTGGTCACAGGGTCACACTCACGCACCACAGATTTTGCTAGCTCCCAATGGCCAGTGGGTTAAAGCAAGCCCTAGGGAGTCATAGATCTTTCTTAGGTTGGCCCAGGCTCTTCTCAAGACTAAGACTACCCCTCAGGTGTCAACACACCGTCAGCCCCCTGGGCATACTCCCTTTTTAGGATCTTCCTCCAAGCTCATATCTCCCTTTGTCACCTGTGGCATGCTTGAGGCCCCCTTGTCCTCCCTCTCTGTCTTTCTCCTTTGTTCCCTCTGCCCCTCCCTCCTCTGTCTCCTGGTCTCTCACTAACACCTCCTGGCTCCACTTCCAGAGCCTGAATCAACTCCATCCCTCCCAGCACCTTCAGGGCAGACTTGGCGCTACATCCTGGGCTTTGTATTGGGCCTGGGCTTGCCCAGCCAGGTCTTCCATCCAGAAACCTCTGTCTCCTTTCTCTCACTGCTGGTATCTAAAGCTGAATTCAATTCCCTCTGAGCCTGGTCCAGCTTTGCTGCACACTGCCCCCCCAAGCGCACACACACACACACACACACACACCCATCTGTACATCTCTTGGCCAGCCTTCAGGTCAGCTCCTGGGAAGGGCCCTGTGTTACCCATTTACAAGTTCACCTACACTACAGGCCAGGAATGGACATAGATCCCAGTGGAAAGGGCAGAGACAGTGGCAGGAATGTATGTATGCAGCGCGAGCGCAAACATCCAGCAGCACCGGTCACATGGCAAACCCTCGTGTAAGTCCTATGTAACCATCACCCTTCATGTGAGCCACTCTGACTCAAACGTCCACTGCCAGTTTCGATCCAGTCTGGAGGAAACTGAGGCTCAGAGTGAGAAGCTTGCCAGAAGGGGAAGTGGGCATCCTGAGCTGCAGACCTGCCTGGTGCCAACTCCACACCCACCCCCCAGCCACTGCCTGAAGTCTTATCGAGGATGGCTGGGCCTTCCTGGAGAGTTGAGGAGGCAGAGACGGGCAGAGCTGGCTCAGGGTCAAGCTAAGAACCTCGCTGTCTTCGGACCACACCTCTTACTGCCCTCCTCCTTGGTTCCCTCTGCACACCAGGCACTTCCAAGCAGACCACAGGCCACTGAAGGAGCCCGCAACCAAGGCCAAGCCAGAACAAGGGACTTGGCTAGAAGCCAGATTCCATGGAAATGTTCTGGGAAAAGACTGACAAGAGACAGGGCAGCCCAAGCTTGAGTGGCAGAGGTCAGGGTCCCAGAGCCTCCTGACCATGTACTGACAGCACGGGGTCACTTCGGGCAGCCTGGCTGTGAGGCGGTGTCTGAGCCCATGGGGTGCCTCCTGTGCCAGGTGTGGGACAACTGTGATGCCACTGGACTGTGACACAGGGCTGAGCAGGGAACGGGGCTCACCAAAAAGGCAGTGGACTGTGGAAAGTTGTGGAGGGGACAGAGTTGGCTGGCTGGGACCCACTACCATGATCCAGCCAGAAAGAAGGAAGTGGTGGGTGGTCACCAAGCTATTCCTTGGCTCTGTGACCTGGTTTCCATCTGTCACTTGCCACCGTGCACCAAGCATTCTCCACACTGACTGTCATGTTTGGTCTTGAAGCCCTTCCTGTCCCCACTTTGCAGGCCAAGACGCTGCTCCAGAGGTGCCACTTTTCTGAGGACATGAACAAGGTTTGAACCCACAGCGTCAGACACTGAAGCTCTGGAGCACTCGACAGAGGCTAAGCAAGATTGAGCCGAGAGCCTGGAGGGGTAAGTACAGAGGGCAGGGACAGATGGAGACCCATGGAGTTCTGCCAGGGAGCCTAAGGGCGAGACACTGGGTAGCTTTCCCTGCCCGGGCACTTCCCAGATCACCCTTAGTTCTGCAGGGAATCTTTTAGAAACACCTGTAAGCCTCCTGTCCCTCCTCGATTCTATTCCCCATCCCAAAGGACAAAGGGGGGCACAGAGGACTGGGGCACTGTCATATCCTTGAAACACAAGCAGGCACGGGGAGAGAAAGAAGACACCCAACTCAAGGTGTCCCTCCCCATGTCACCTCTGCTCCCCACAACGCATACACCCCGATAGAAGCAGACATCTCGGATGGACTTTCCAGACAAAGCCAACTCCCTAAGCTGGGGCTCCCAAAGGCTTTAGCAGGGCGCATAGGTGAGGAGCAGAAAACCGAGCAAAGAGAAACCCCACGCGAAGAGGTGGTGAGACACCCCAGAGCCCCCCAGTCCTTCCTCACTGAGAGGTGGACACCGTGGCATTTCATGCTATATTCTTTTTCATGCACTTTTTTCTCCCTACTTTTTCTAAGGTAAACACGTATTCTGTCTGAAGCCGAAGGAAAACAATAAATGTCATTTCACAAAGAACGAAGCAGTCCACGGAGTGGGAGCAAAGCCCATGGAGAGGCTTCAGAAGCAGTGAGAGTGGGGGAGGCACACGCACACACGCACCCTTCAGGCTCACAGAATGAGCTCAGAGAGTGAAATTCCAGAAATCTCTAAGAGACAAAAAGAGGAGAGGAGAGAGGGACAGCGGAGGGGGAAGCTGGGTAGGGACACACTTGTACCACTCCAACCTTCATAACTCAGTAACAATGTTACAATAGGCTCAGTCCACCCTCACGGTGGGGAGGGCTATGACGGTTGTTTGCTTTTCCTATTACAAAGGTAACAAAGCTTTTTGTACTCAGGGACGACAATTTAGAAGAAAATTGCGTCCTACTTTCTGAATAGCAAGAGTACCCATGAGTGCCCCAGGGAGACAGAGCGAGCACACAGGGAGGCAGCTACAGAGATGAGATGACACGTGTAAACACCTGCAGCCTAAGTGAAAAGGGTCACAGAGACAGGGAGGTAGAAGAAAGACAAGCAGACAGTGACCAGGGGACATATGGACACCAGCACTCCAACATCCTGCTAAGACTCCAGAGTGGTGGCTAAATTCAGTGAGGCTCGAATGAGTGAATGAAGAAATCAATGGGGAGGGACCCAGGGCAGAAGGAGAATGGAGCAGGGAGACAGTCTCAATAATGGACCAGAGGGCCGGTGACAGAGGTGTAGAGGGACAGAGTCTGGACTGGAATGAGAGAGCCTGAGACCAGGCAGTGGGGCAGGCAGGCAGGGCTCCTCTAGAAGACAGCCCTGGAGCTCAGGACACAGAGGAAGCTCTGGCAGGAAAGCAGAAGGGAGAAGGGGCAAAGGGAGAGCTGTTTGGCCGGCCTGGGGCTCACACTTGCAGGAGCAGAAGGACATGGAGTGGAGGGGAAGGGCATGGCAGGGAGCGGGGCACCGCCCACCCACACCCACCCCAGCCAGTAGGCCAGGAGGCAGCTGTGTTCTTTACACATCCTAAGGCTGATGTGGTTGAGGCGGGGCATTGCTGAGTGGAAGGAGGTCTCAGAGGAAGCCGGAGAGGTCCTTCCCTGGTTAGGTCAGGGCGGCCTGAAGGGAGTAGCAGCAGAGAGTGGGTTGACAGAGCTTCCTAGGGGAAGGTAGGGGCTTTCTGAGGCATTGGAGGCACAGCTGACCAGCGAGGGAATGACCGGTCCACATATCTGGCTTCAGATCCTCTGCGTCCAGAGCTCAGGAGGGAGGGCAATGTGGGGGTGGCATGAAGAACTGGGCACCCAGGAGTGAGTGAGCCCCAATGAGGCACAGGGTGGCAAAAAAGACAGGACTCCAAGACAGCCGCCTGGAGGAGCCTGGCAAATAGGGGCAGGCAGAGGGAGGGAGTGGAAGGAAACAATAGGCTCTCTCTCTCTCTCTCTCTCTCTCTCTCTCTCTCTCTCTCTCTCTCTCTCTCTGTGTGTGTGTGTGTGCCTCTCTCTCTCTCTGTCTGAGTGTCTGTCTGTCTGTCTCTCTCTCTGTCCCTCTCTCTCTCTCTGTGTGTGTGTGTGTGTGTGTGTCCCTCTCTCTCTCTCTGTGTCCCTGTCTCTCTCTCTGTCTCTCTCTCTCTCTCTCTCTCTCTGTCTCTCTCTTTCTCTTTCTCTCTCTGTCTCTGTCTCTCTGTCTCTGTCTCTCTCTCTCTCTCTCTCTCTCTCTCTCTCTCTCTCTCTCTCTCTCTCTCTCTCTCTCTCTCTCTCTCTCTCTCTCTCTCTCACACACACACACACTGGATGAAGAGGGGAAGACAGAGCCTGAGGGGGAAATGAGTTAGGGAACCATGAGGCATGAAGCAGTCAGACGTGGCACATCTGGAAAAAGTGAGCTGGGAGGAGACTGGCCAAGAGGGGAAGGAAGAGTGGAGGGGGTGCTGAGAGAGAGAGACTGGAGACAGAGAAATGAGAGGCGCTGACAGCTCAGCCCGCACACAGAGGGCTTGGAGAGAGGAGCGGGGGACATGCAGGTGCAGAGGGAGGGGCAGAGAGCTGGGGGGCCATGTGCTGCAAGCACATCATAAATACAGGACGGATAAAGGGAAGAGTACTGCGAACACACACACTCACGCTTTCTTTCTGTGTGTGTCTCTGTCTCTCTCACACACTCACGCTTTCTCTCTGTGTGTGTGTCTGTCTCTCACACACACTCACGCTTTCTCTCTCTGTGTGTGTCTCTGTCTCTCACACACACACTCACGCTTTCTCTCTCTCTCTGTGTCTCTGTCTCTCTACACACACTCACGCTTTCTCTCTCTCGTGTGTGTCTCTGTCTCTCTCACACACTCACGCTTTCTCTCTCTGTGTGTGTCTGTCTCTGTCTCTCTCACACACACTCACGCTTTCTCTCTCTGTGTGTGTCTGTCTCTCTCACACACTCACGCTTTCTCTCTCTGTGTGTCTGTCTCTGTCTCTCACACACACACTCACGCTTTCTCTCTGTGTGTGTCTGTCTCTGTCTCTCTCACACACTCACGCTTTCTCTCTGTGTGTGTGTGTGTCTCTGTCTCTCTCACACACTCACGCTTTCTCTCTGTGTGTGTGTCTCTGTCTCTCACACACACTCACGCTTTCTCTCTGTGTGTGTGTCTGTCTCTCTCTCACACACACTCACGCTTTCTCTCTGTGTGTGTCTCTGTCTCTCACACACACTCACGCTTTCTCTCTCTGTCTCTGTGTCTCTGTCTCTCACACACACTCACGCTTTCTCTCTGTGTGTGTCTGTCTCTGTCTCTCACACACACTCACGCTTTCTCTCTGTGTGTGTGTCTCTGTCTCTCTCACACACACTCACGCTTTCTCTCTCTGTGTGTGTCTCTGTCTCTCACACACACACTCACGCTTTCTCTCTCTGTGTGTGTCTGTCTCTGTCTCTCTCACACACACTCACGCTTTCTCTCTCTGTGTGTCTGTCTCTGTCTCTCACACACACACTCACGCTTTCTCTCTCTGTGTGTGTCTCTGTCTCTCACACACACACTCACGCTTTCTCTCTCTGTGTGTGTCTGTCTCTGTCTCTCTCACACACACTCACGCTTTCTCTCTCTGTGTGTCTGTCTCTCTCTCACACACACTCACGCTTTCTCTCTGTGTGTGTCTGTCTCTGTCTCTCACACACACTCACGCTTTCTCTCTGTGTGTCGTGTGTCTCTGTCTCTCACACACACACTCACGCTTTCTCTCTCTGTGTGTGTGTCTCTGTCTCTCACACACTCACTCACGCTTTCTCTCTGTGTGTGTCTGTCTCTGTCTCTCACACACACACTCACGCTTTCTCTCTGTGTGTGTCTCTGTCTCTCTCACACACTCACGCTTTCTCTCTGTGTGTGTCTGTCTCTGTCTCTCTCACACACACACTCACGCTTTCTCTCTCTCTCTGTGTGTGTCTCTGTCTCTCACACACACACTCACGCTTTCTCTCTGTGTGTGTGTCTGTCTCTGTCTCTCTCACACACACACTCACGCTTTCTCTCTCTCTGTGTGTGTCTCTGTCTCTCACACACACACTCACGCTTTCTCTCTGTGTGTGTGTCTGTCTCTGTCTCTCTCACACACACTCACGCTTTCTCTCTCTCTCTGTGTGTCTCTGTCTCTCTCTCTCACACACACACTCACACTTTCTCTCACACACATTCTCTCATACACACTCACACTTTCTCTCACACACATCTCTCTCTCATACACTCACACTTTCTCTCACACACACTCACACACATTCTCTCTCTCTCTGTGTCTGTCTCTGTCTCTCTCTCTCACACACACACTCACACTTTCTCTCACACACACTCACACACACATTCTCTCTCACACACTCACACTCACATTTTCTCTCTCTCTGTCTCTGTCTCTCTCACACACACTCACACACACATTCTCTCTCACACACTCACATTCTCTCTGTCTCTGTCTCTCTCTCTCTCACACACACACACACTCACACACTAAATGGAGGATGAAAGTCTGGCTCCCAGAGCACAAAAACAAGCATCCCTGCAGAAAGGCCAGCACTAGAGCAGAGAAGAAAACAGTACAGTAAGAGAGTCATCTGGACAGACAGACAGACAGTCCTACTGAGAGAAGAGAGACCTAGTATGCAGCAGCATCTCCTGTGCACACATGGGCACACACACTCTGGTGCTCACCCGAGGTGCCCAGAGCCATCCAGCTAACACTAAGAAAAGGGGCAGAGGGAGGGAAGTGCTGGCCCTGGGGCACATCTCTCTTCTCCGTCCTTCTCACCCTCTGGCTTTCTCTACAGTTGCCGGAGGAGAGCCCACAGTGGTAGAGTCGCCCTGATGGACACCCCGATGCCTCCACACACGGCAGGGCGGAGGCTGTTCTGGGAGCTCTTCCCATCAGAGGAAAGATGCTAACTGCA